TCCATTGCTTATGATTAATTGAAAGTGAAATAGTTTTTGGTCGCTCGTGCAGACAAACTGCTGTCGCTCGCTCGTTAGCGGTCAATTTGCATCGCGGATTACGGACTGCGGACTGCGGACTGCGGACTGCGGATACTCGGAAGATAGCGTTTCCAGTGGTTAGCAAACAATCGGCACTAATTGACGAACGGCATTTGCCTGGCATCGCGATTGCGTGTTGTGATGTCTTTGATTTCCAGTTCAAATTAAATATGAAATGAAGAGCGATTCAGTGGAATGAATGTCAGCAAGCGGTGGCTCAAAAATCATACACAATCAGGGAGCTTCTAAGGTAGTTATTATCTAAGGAGTATGCCTAAAGCTTTGGCCATCCTTTATTATCCGGATACAGATATGGACAGTCCAGAATATTCGTACCTTTAGCATTCATTGAACAATTTAAAAGGTAAGTGCCCCAAACGAGTTCACGTCTTACAATTGAATCAAACAAATATTTTAAGAAATTCTCAAAGTTGTCAAACTGTGGGAATTTCTCTTAAGCATCTCTCCCCTCACATCTGTGCTGTGTGTGTGTGGCTCGCTGCTTAACACTTGTCCATTATCCATTCATTAGCACCTCAATTAGGCGGCACGCCATCTGCTGGCATTTCCCCCAAGCTGCCGAAGGTCTCAAGCTTTCTGTCTTCGTCAAGTTCGTGCTCGAGTTCGCGTCTCAGCTCTTCCGTTTTTCGCGCACACCGCAAAGTATGCCACAAACGGCTGCCCCAAGAAAGAAGTGGAAAATTGATGAGTTGTGAAAAAAAAAGAAAAGTTTTGTGCTGGCAGTGAATCTGCATTGAAAAATGTGTGCATGGTTGCGGTCTAGTAAGCGGCGCCAAGCGAAGAGAGCGAGATGCCAAGACGAGGAACTGCCAGCTTCAATGCCATAGAACACCGAACAGTAAGCCAAACCGAATGTAATTTCAAATGAAAGGAGGGAGGCTGTGCGCTGTAAGCCAATATTTTCGGTTGCTTTCGCAGCGAAATCACGAAAGCGCAGCTCCAGTGGCCATCCAGCTCCAGCTCCACGTTGCAGCGCGGCAAACTGGCTAATTGCCGTGATATTTAGACTAAGACAAAAAAGTATGTTTTTCAATTTCAGCTGCCGGCTGACATGCGAGGCGCAATTATGCCGCCGCAGCAGCTGCAGCGGTATAAAATGCATACCATCTGCATGGCCACCACTCAGTTGAACATCAAAAGTGCAGTGCCCCGTTTGGACGAGTTGCGTCAGTGCCAGCATCCACAAGGATCATCCAAACAGACACTCCAGCCACCAGCCACCAGCCACCAGCCTCAGCTCAGACATGATCAAGTACGTGTGGCATGTGGCAGCCCTCATGATTGTCTTTTGCTGGCTGTCCACGGCTCACGGCGCCAGCTACCAGCATCAGCATCCGCATCAGAGTCTCAACAGCCTCGGGGGAGTTGGGCAGAAACCGCAGCCACAGCAACCGCAGCCAAGTGTCTCCAGCTCGGCCGCAGCTCCGGCTGGCTTCTGGAAGGACATGTCGCTGGTCTACCGCATCTATCAGCAGTGCACGGGCGAGAACATGTCCGTCTGCCTGAAGGTCAAGCTGCTGACCGGCCTGGAGAAGGCCTTTCGCTCGGCCAAGACCCTCTCGCTCTACGAGGGCGTGCAGTTTGTCAGCAGCTCCGGCAGTGAGGAGCACAAGCGAGCCAAGTTGCCGCCCATCAGCGAGCAGGATATTGTGGCTGTGTTGCCACGCAGCACGGACGCCAAGGATCAGGTGCTGAACAGCATGATCTTCAAGCGGTTGGGCAACTTCCTACAGGATCACACGCTGCAGGTGAGGTTTCCACATCCAGATCTCCATCCAAAATGTTTGATGTCTGATTTTTCGTTAGATCAAATTCCCGGACTTACGCGACTCGGACGGCAGCACGGCGGAGGGTCGCAAGAAGAAGGAGAAGAAGAGCAATGGCGCCTACATCATGATTCCGCTGCTGCTCGGCGGCACCTTTGTGCCCATCGCTTATGGCGCTCTGGCCATGCTCGCCGGCAAGGCGCTGATTGTGTCCAAGCTGGCTCTGGTGCTCGCCTCGATCATCGGCATCAAGAAGCTGCTCAGCGGCGGCGCCGGTGCCAATCAGGGCTCGCATGAGGTTGTCGTCAGTGGCGGTGGCAGCCACTCGGGCTGGGGTCGGGACTTCGATATGGCCTACAGCGGCTGGAAGCCGGCCAAGGACCAGCAGCAGCAGCAGCAGCAGCAGCATCAAGCGGGCGGCGCCAAGAGCTTGTAGGCGGCGGCGGGGCAAGGGGCAAGGGGCAAGGTGGCCCGCATTTGCATTTGGAGGAGAGAGTGGAGAGTGGAGAGTCGAGAGTCGAACCAAAGAAAAGATTGCCGCACGAAAAACTGTCTGACTAATGTCTAGTTTAATTTTGTCTAATCGATTACTAATTTTAACGAACTAAATGTGTGTGTTAGGTCTAAGTTTAAGCGCTAATTAAATATAGTCAATTCTGCTACACGAAGTGCACTGAGGGCCACTCCCCTGCTTGGATTTACGATAACAACTCAAGTTTCGATGGCATGGGGCTGACGTGCGTGCTAAAAATGGCAGACGACGCCGACAGACGCTGCTGCTTCGCTTTCTACCAAGTACATAAGTTGTACATATATGTACTACATATACATATGCAGCCTACATGTTTGCGTTCACTCAAAGTCCAATGCAATATTCATAGTTCAAATATGTGATGGCTCTGGCCTGCGCCGGCATGCGACAATTTCACTTTTGAGCCCATGAACAAAATATTAATGAGCTGCTCCGACGAGTACGTGGTAGAACATTGAACTTGGCTGACGACGATGGGCCCTGAGCAAGTGCTAGTTGTGGGTGACGTCACAAGCGCGGGACTTTCATTAATTGAAAATTACTCAAGCGCATTACGGTCTCCCGGCATGTCAACACGTAAAAGGTAACCAAAGTTGGTGCTGCTGAAGGGGAGGCTGTGACACAGAGGCAGGAGACACAGCGCTGTACCCGGAATTCGTACTCATGCGGAATGAAAGTGAAACTTTTGTAAAGGTGTCAATTTTGCGAGGCTGCGCCACCGACCAGGGGGGTTGCCGACTGTCGCGGGTGGGTTGGGGCCTGCTGCCGATTGTTTGCCTTCGCTTGGGCGCCAATGTGCGATGAGCAAAAACTTTTTACCTCAAAGCGAATATTTCGCATGACTATGTGGGTCAGCGTAGAGTGCGGATATACTAGAAGCAAGCAGCTTGAGAATTAATTGAGCAAACTCGAATGAGACGTAGATTCTAAGAGGGGGGAACAGAGTGGAAAGTATTCAGATCAACATAATTGTAGCACATTCCAAGAGGAGGATAGGCAGAGTGAGTTTTGGCATTCAATTTGCAACTCTCTTTAAGGCAAAACCTTTCTGTAATGTCTTTAGTTTCAGCTTTAAATCACAGCTTAAAGCCATGCCCCAATGTCATTGTGTAACTGAATGCCATGCCCAGCAGTGTGCAGTTTGAAGTTGAATAAAGTTGACTTCTTTTTTCTTTCTTTCACTTTCATTGTGCACGCACGTGGGTAGCAATTTTTCTTTCCTTTTGTGTTCATACGATGCGACCGCATTATGCCCTACACGACTCTCATCTATCAGTGCTGCCCGGTTTCGGGAAATTATAGCGGAAGGGCACATAAATCTCCGTACACGTGTCCAAGGTATTTGCATATTCCATCAGCTCGGGGGCTGGCTCAGATAATCGCCTGGTCTGCTGAGTGCTGAGTGCTGAGTGGCTTTTTGCAGCAGCATTTGACTGTTGATTTATTTTCCACGCAAATCCCGGGCGTAGCTTTCTTTTGGGGGGGCTGGCTGGGGGGGGGAGGCACTCGGCTAATGCGTAAATTACATGGCAAACGATGAAGCGAAAGAGACGAGCGAACGTGTGGCAATTTTCGAGTGCTGCAAATTAAAGCGACATAATGCCAATGAAACTCTCCTCATATCTATGTGTAGCTGTGGCTGTATTTGTATCTGTATTTGTATCTGTATCTGTATCTGCTGATGTTTCTGCAACTGGCCACGATTGGATTGGCATACAAAACTACTGCAGATAGTCGGCACATTATGCGAGAGGCACAAAAACAAACACATAAATAAAAAGCAAAATTAAAGTGAAATTTCTTTCCTCCATCATTGCCGCCTCCCTCCCGCCCGCTGCAAACTAGTTAATTTTCTATTTTACTCCAATTTAAGCCGCAGCAGCGGCGACTCTTGATGCGCTTTGCTTTCGGTCCAAATGGACAGCCATCTTAAATGGTGTTGCTGATTAGCCAGTCGCCTCCCCTGCCGCCCTCAATGCACGCTGTAGTCACGTGTTTGCAATTTGCAATGAAACGCAAGAAACCTTAACTAAGGTTTCCCCCCTTTAAATCTGTCTCCCTAAATAAGTCTGATTAAGCTGCCGATGAAGGTGCAACTATTGTCCCAAGGCAATTACTTCCCCGCTCAGCCAGCACCCCACCCCCCTTCCCTGTGTGCACAGCTAACTGCTGTTTAAGCACGTTGACAAACAGTGAGGCCAGCCAGAGAGCAAACACAAGCGCTGCCCGACGCTGCGTCGCTGCGCTCTGTCGCTGTCGGGTTGGGGGAGGGCAGCTCTTCGGCTCTTTCCACTTCGGCTCTGCGGTCAGTGCAGGTAGCCAGCCAGCCAGCCAGCCAGCCAGCCGATGCGCCTCATCGTCTTCGTGTGCGTCGGGTCGGGTTTGATGATTTAAATTCTAAGCTCGGCTACCGTCTGCGGGACAGGGACACCCGAGCGACCACTTGCAGCGCGTTAAAGCGTCAACATCGTCTCCAGCGTCGTTTGTCGTTGTCGTTGTCGTTGTCGCTGCTTCTGCTGCTGCTGCTATCTGCGCTGCTGCTGCTCTGCTGGCCGGGAATAAAACTCGATCCGCGTGCGTCTTCTAGCCACAGTTTACCGGTTGCCTTCTGACCGACAGATCGAACAAGCCAATCGAGCGCAGTGCAGGCCATTGAAGTGAAGCAAACAACAAAAAAAGAAAGAAAAACTCACAGCAAGGCGGCACTCCGAGGGCAGTGCACAGAGAAACGAGCAGCAAGGATAACGTCGACAGTGTCAAGTGCTTGCAGTGTGGCAAATAAATCCAATCAAGCCAATCAACCAATCAATCAATCAATCATGTTCAAGTTCGTGTGCCTTTTCGCGCTGATCGCCACAACGGCGGCAGCCGCCTCCGAGGCGGACAGTCTGCTGACAAGTGCCCTGAAAATGGTCAAGGATTGCGGCGATCGCTCGATGGTGCTGTGTATGAAGGTAACGACAAAGCCCAACCCTCCAGCCAATCCCAAAACAATCCTACAAACACTTCCCTCCAATAGGAACGCGCTCTGCACTATTTCGATACGGAGAACGGCGACGTGAGGCTGACCGAGGGCATTGCTCTGGTGAAGACAGACGACATACCCGTGGGCCGTTCCCTCAACGACATCCAGCTGCCCGAGGAGGTGGAGTCCCGCGAGGCTGAGGTCGACTCTCTGCTGGTGGAGCGTGTGGCGCGCTTCTTTGGCACTCACACTCTGCAGTTCAAGGTGCCCAAGGACTCGATTCAGGACATGCAGCGGGTGCTCGAGGAGTGTAAGTATCAGCACACAAATTAATGATCGATCGATCGATCGATCAGCCATTCTGGTTGCTGAACATGTTGCCAATTTGGGTTACTAATGCAGCGACCACTCGACCAGTTTGTGCAGGCAGATGGCAGCTCCCAGTCCCAAGTCTTGCGGCCAAATCCTGTTTTCACTGTTAAATTCTAGTCACATTGAGGTCATCCTGCTGCCTGATGCCAAAACCATTCAGCAAGCATCTAGCGGTGCATTGACAGTCCCCAAAGCGAGACTCAAGCGCAGTCTCTGCGGCTGTTATTAATTGCACTTTAGTTAGCCAGTTGGACTTACTTTCTTTTCTACGAGCCATGATCCGTGATCCGCAATTTCCGATTTCTAAACGCAGCCAGCCAGCCGGCCAGCCAGCCAGCCAGCCACATAGAAAGCGGCCGATCCTGTTCGCTGATTAATTATCTGTGTGCTCCAGTTGCTAATTAGCGGTCAGCGCATACTCGTACTCCCATCAAGCGAAAGTCAATCATCATGCAAATGTTTCTGCATCTTTTCAGCGCGCGGCAAGAAGAAGGAGAAGAAGAAGTACCTGATGCCCCTGCTGCTGCTGTTCAAGCTGAAGATGGCCGCCCTGCTGCCCCTGGCCATCGGCTTCCTGGCACTGATCTCATTCAAGGCCCTGGTCATCGGCAAGATCGCCCTGCTGCTCTCCGGCATCATTGGCCTGAAGAAGCTGCTGGAGTCCAAGAAGGAGAACTACGAGGTGGTGGCGCATCCCCACTACGAGCACGAGCACAGCTACGGACGGGCCCTGCCCGGCGGCATGGAGTCCCAGAATCTGGCCTACGCGGCGTACAAGCAATAAGCCAATAATAGCCAAAAAGAGACGATGCCAATCCTGCAGCAGAAAACAAACAAACAAAAAGCAATATTCAGTGCAATAAGGCGAGAAGAGAGAGAGAGAGAGAGGAAGAGCTGGGAGAAAGCTGAATGGGCGATCCATGGCTCATTTAATTTATTCTATTTATTTAATTTATTTTTATAGCATAGTTCATGCAAAGCTTACACGTAAGGCGCCATCATCTGCAATTGTCCGAAGGAATAAGTCCAAATAGGGAATAAGCTCAAATCACGCAGGGGGGGAAGGAGGCTGGAGGAGGCGTTGGGCTGCGGCTGCGGCTGCGGCAGCCTTTACCTTAATGTAACTTTTGTATTAATAATACTCAGAGCTTTACTATTGACTATTTTAACGCTATACGCTTTACGCTTTACGCTTTACGCTTAACTCCAACTACAACTAAAACTAATCTAAACTTAACTATTTAAACTTTGAACTGCTGCGAGGCGCTCGCTTCCAGCCACCCACCCCCCACAGACAGTCTTCAAAATCAATAAAACAAATCCTGCATTTATCACGACGAATCGCTGTTTTAGTTTGTCTCCAAATATTGCGCATACGCAACCTGTGCTCATCGCACAGCGCTGACTGTTTTTCCAGCGAAATGCTTTCACTCTTTCACCAAGTACGGCCAACGAGGCCACTGGATATCAGTTGCATGTGCGACACACAAAATCATGGCCGCAGTGCAGAGCAGAAAGCAAGCGGCAGAAATTTCACTTGAGCCAACCGAGGCGTAGCCTCAGAGTTAGACTCAGAGTCAGAGCCAGTTGGTGGGTTCCAGATCCCACATGGCCAGCTGGACTGCCGGACTGCCGGACTGCCGGCCGGCTGTGTCCCGCACTTCTCTCTGCGTTCGGATTATCGTCTCGAATGTCGCTCCAGAAAGCACACTCGAAAAATCTAATGAAAGTTGCGACCTGCTTTTAGCATTTGCGATGCAACACGTACGCCCGAGCCGCGATTGGGTGTGTGTGTGTGTGTGTGTTTGTGTGTGTCAATGAGATGGACACATGGGCGGAGAGCTGCAATTTATGGCCGTCGGCATTTGGCATATAAATGGCCAAAACAGCCAAAAGTCGGCCCGCTTGCTCGTACATCTCTTCTCTCAACTATTTGTGGACAATGTTTCGGGGGCTGCCCGCCCGCCTGCCTGCCTGCCTGCCTGCCTGCAGTCGTGAATTTCAAGTATTGCCGGTGAAAGTGTTTATTAATACAATTTCTTTTTTTTTTTGTGTGAATTGCAATTGGAAATTTATTGAGCTGCCGGCACACCGCTACGCGGCCTCACCTCTCTCTCTCAGCATGTTTATTCCCTCCCCAGTTTACATTTTGTGTCAAACTTTCGAAGTGGCAGAAAATTACAAAAGTTTTCGCGTCAAGCCGCAGAACATTAAACCGAAAAATCCCGCAAATAGCCAAATCAAGCTGCAGCCGGGACAGGGGATGCTGGCTGAAAAGTTTCGTCCGGTGTTTCATTAGTGGTGCGAAGAAAGGTGGGGCCACCACCACCTCTCCAAATGGCTGACACTCTTTGGTGTCTGGGTGGCGTCTCCTTGTCCCCTGACCAACCGAGATGACGTGCTGGCAACACCAAACTTTTTACTCAGCCTTAACATCCGCAGCCCGAAAGTAGGCTCTTGCCAGTTGCCTTTTTAGCCCCTCAATCTTTGTGGTTTGTTGCGGTGTGCATTACTTTTGATACCCTTTGCTTGGGCGCAGCTCTTAGCAGGCAGTTGACACAGCCTGAAGCACTCTATTATTTATGTGGCATTTGTTTTTCTCTGCGAAAGTTTGTCAATAAAGTTTGTCCTGCTTTGACTTGGAGTTTAACTTATTGATGGGAGTCTATGGTCTATGGTGGTCGCGTTATAACTCCCTTTACTGGCTCGATCTTAAGTCTAAGCTCTCTCTGTGCCTTTGTTTGTTTATTTTCCTAGCTGGCAGCAATTTGCAGCTCATTTTGCCCGCCTAAACGATGGAGCATTTCTGTTAATTCTGTGAACGCCTTCATTTGCTTAATGGGCGCACATTAGTGGGCATGGCAATGGGGAATTTTCCCAAAATGGCAGCGTGCCGGTCCGAGCTGTTTCATAATTTTGTGTGGATGGAATAACTCCATTGCATAATGGTCGAGATGTGCGAAAAAATTGGCCACAAGTCGTGTGCACTGACCATGACCATGCCGGCTCCCATAACAATAAAAAAATCAAAAACAAACCCGAGATGATCAGTAGAAGACGAAGAGCGACCACTTGGCGTTGATGTACAACAATTTCCGTTATTGGGCCATGGGGAGTACATTTGGGGCCCCAGCTGATTATTGTATAACTAGATGAGGTTGTGCCGCGGTGGCCTATAAAGCTCTGGGGTCAGCCGGCCAGCGGGCTCAGTTGGAATTCGCACACTTGACCAACATGTTGCTACTGCACACCGGCTTGATCCTAGTCCTGCTCCAACTTGGACTCATTGCTGGCCATGACTTCTCGCACGTTGGCTCCGCGGAGCTCAAGCAGTTCAAGCAGTGCGTGCGCGGCGCCAGTGGCCAGCGGCCCAGACTCAGCGAGTGCCTCGGGCGTTCGGCGCTCAACTTCATTCAACGCGTGGAGGAGAGTGACAATGTGAGCTTCGTGGCGGATTTTGCATCGGTCAAGAGCGACACTGCAGCGAGTAGATCCCTGGCCAATGTGCTGGACACGGACCCAGTGGACTTTCGTGGCATACTCGAGAACGCAGGCGCTGTCATGGGTCAGCGCAGTCTCGAGTGGCACATGGACGCACTGTATCCCGGACTCATGTTCAAAATTGGACCCACAACGGATGCCAACAGCGTGGCGGAGTTTGTGCTGGACGGTGCGGGCGTGCAGGGTGAGCGGCAGTTTGGCCACGAAGATCCATCAGCGGGTAGGCAAAAATATTCATAAATATTTCAGCATCATTTCTAGCTTAACTTTTGTTTCTTTTGTATCTGCAGGTCGCCTGCTGGCCAAGCAATATCTGTTGCCCTTTCTGCTGGGCCTCAAGTTCAATCTGGTGGCGCTGGTGCCCCTGCTCTTTGCTGGCATTTGCTTGCTGCTCAAGAAGTCGCTCTTTCTGGTCAAGCTGGCGGTGTATGTCAGCAGCTTCCTGGGCCTGGGCGGCGTTGTCAGCTCGTTGGGTGGATTGGGCGGCCTGTCTGGCGGTCTGGGCGGCTTTGGTGGCCTTGGCGCTGGCTCCAGCTTTGGCTTTCAGGGCCATCGACCTGTGGGACACTTTCCCGGCAAGACCACAGTCTTTGGGCATGGCGATGAGCTGCATCATCAGCAGGAGTACGATGTGCACGAGGCCTCGCCCTACCGTCGCAGCGAGCGCAAAGTTCGCTTCGAGCAGCCCCGAGCTGCTGCAGACAACACCGAGAAGCCTCATTCACCCACAGAGGATCGCTTCTATGAGTTTGAGCAGCAGCGCAGAGCCAGCAACAAGCTGGAGCCGGAGGACACCTTGATGAGGAGCAACTTCCAGGCGGGGATGCAGGGCTGGCAGGCCGTGGATGTGCGTTCCCTGTAGGGAGACGGGGGCCGCCACTTAGCCCAAGTCTTAGCGCAATTAATGTTAGTTTGTCACTAGAGTAAAACGCTTTCCAAAAATGAAAGTTTTCCGGGGGGGAGGGGAGATTCTCTTTGGTTTCGGCGTTTTTGGGCTGCTTCAAGGTTCAGCGAGCCGCCGCCGCAAAAACGTTTCTTATTCGATTCCTATCAAAAGTGCTGCTTTGACAAGCACCTTAATTGGCACTCCCAGTCCGTGTCTATAAATAATGAGACGAACTGGCTTCCAGGGCTATTTGTGGTTCAGCAAGAGTCGCGCTCGCTCGACAGACAACAATGTGGCGCGTGTTCCTGGTGCAGTGCGTCGCCTTCGTGCTGGCAAATGGAACATCCATCAGTGCGTGGAGCCCCCGCAGTGTGGGCAGGGTCATAGCTCAGTGTCTGGGCGGTGCAGAGGTGTGGCAGTGCCTGGGCGCGGAGAGCGAGCGAATGCTGGAGTTGGCCGCGCGGGACAACAGCAGCTGGCAGATCAACGAATATCTGAGCATAGAGCCGCCGCCAGTGGCGGAGGTGCAGGCCCGCAGTTTGGAGTCTGGACTCACAAGCAGGCTGTTGCAGCTGTTGCAAGGACGTGCGCTGCGGGTGCAACTGCCGCGACAGCTGACCGTCGCGAATGGCATCGATGAGGCCGAACTAGGCACGGATCAAGGTACTTATTCGCTCGTAGATGATAAAATCGATAGGATTGTGGCAGGATTTGGTAGTTTTGAGGCTCCGCAGACAACTGGCGATAAAGATAAGCACAAAAAGAAGCACAAAAAGAAGCACAAAGATACAAAGAAGAAAAAGAAAAAGAAAAAGAAGAAAGAGGCAAAGAAAAAGAAGAAAAAAGAGAAGAAGAAAACTAAAAAAAAAAGCACTAAACATAAAAATAAGAATAAAAACAAATGCTCCAACAAAACAGGTCGCAAGAAGAAGGACAAAGATAAGCACATGGCCATGATGGGCGGCATGATAATGATGGCCACGGTGGCCCAAATGTTCCTCGGCAAGGTGATCCTCATCGCCGGCTCTGCCTTCGTAATGGCCAAGATTGCGCTCGTCATATCCCTGCTGGTGAGTAACACCGAACAGAGGAGCAGCAGCGGATGGTGGCCCAGTCGTAACTCATTGGCGCTACGCCTCTATTTGCAGGGCAGTCTAAAAAAGGGATCGGCTGGCCACAGTGGTAGCGGCAGCGGCGGCCCCGAGCACGTGATTGTCACCAACACGGGCCACAGCCACGAGAGCGGCTGGCACCGCAGCATGCCCACGCACGAGTACAGCGGCGGTCAGCTGGAGGAGCCAACACATGCCCATGATCAGGGTTATTATGCCTACGAGATGGACACCTTGAAGCGGCGACAGTTCCAGCACCAACCTGAAGCAGAAGCAGAAGCAACCCGTGGATTTGTCTAGTATTTTAATTGCTTTTGATCCTTGATCTGTGGTAAATGTAACTACGATAAAAACTAAACCTAAGCTGGAGGAGGCTCTCGGGCGAACGAATGTAAATACAATAGTTCTCATGCAGATTGGAAGTGTGATCTTTGGTTGAGTACGGGCCTCGGGGTTCCTATCGCGACACCTTCGTAGAGCTGGCGGCAGCAGCAGCACCTGGAGAGCCAGCAGCCTGCGGCATCCATGCCTGGTAGGCCTTGTCCTGCATCATCATCTCGTCATCGATGCTGCGATGGTAGGAGCCGCCGCCAGAGTCGTGGCCGCCCGAGTCGTACTCCCCTTGGTGGCTGGTGGAGTAGGTGTGGCTCTGTTGCACCTGCGGATGCTTCACAATCTCGTAGGTGGTCCGCTCGCCAGCGTCCTGCCCGACGAGCTTCCTCAGTCCAATGATGGCGCTGATGATGAGCGCAATCTTGCCCACAATCAGCGCCTTGCCAGCCACAATGGCGATCGAGTGGTAGGCCATCTTCAGTATGGCCGTCTTCAGCAGCACGGCGGCAATGAACGGTCCCAGATACTTCTTGTCATCCTTCTTCTTGTGGCGTCCCTCGCTCTCGCTCTCGCCCGGGCTCTGGCCGTTGCTGTCCGCCTCCTTGCCGGACAGAAAGTACCCGAAGAGCGACTGCAGCCAGTCCTGGCTGTTGCGCTCCCCAAAGTGCAGCAGTCGCGGCAGATTCACCTGCAGCTGGTGGCTGTGCACAAAGCCCAGGAAACGCTCTAGCAGCAGCGCGTCCAAGCTCTTGCCGGACATCTGCTCCAGGTCCCGATTGTTCAGCTGACTCTCCGCAATGCTGGCGCGTGCCGTGCGCGTGTCCTGAGTGCCTGCAACACTCTCGCGCCTCACCAGACTAACGCCATCCACAATGCTGAGCTGCTGCACCTTGAGTGCGCGGCCCAGCAGTCGGGCGCCCTGCACCTTGCAGCACCAAAAAATATCCTCACTGTCCGCACACTGTCCGTACACGTGGCGCACGGTGCGCAGGAGTCCGCTGTCCCCCGAGTGGCTGCTGTTCTGTGCCAGCGCCCAGCTGATGCTTCGATGTGCCAGCAGCAGGGCCATGAGCAGGCACAGGCGCGAGTCCATTCTGTCCATATGTTTGCCTGATCCTTGCTGTGTTCTCTCTCTTTCTCTCTCTCTCTCTCGCTCTCTGGCTGTAGCTGCTGCAAACTCTCTTGGCCAACTGATCTTGTGCGCCAGTTTGTGCACCAAATTTATACACTTCACCTTGCCACAATTAGCCAGGCAGCCGTTGCATCCAGTTTTGCTTTTGTTGCCGATGCCTCGCTGTTGGCTATTTAGAGCGTAATATGCATGATAGCAGCCGCCTGCCGCAGTTGCCACTGCAGCAAAGCTTCGCTGCAGATTTAGTGCAGAGCAGAGCCAGCGAAGCAATTGCCGGGGCGCATTTGCCGCAATTAGCTCGATCTGGCAGCGGCAATTATTTGGAGTCTTTATATTGCCAGCGGTCCGCCGGCAGCCGCCTTCGACGCCCACTTTCATCGGCGAGCTGTGAAAAAAGAAGAAACGAAAAATAGAAATAGAAATAGAAATAGAAATAGAAATAGTTAGAAGCGGGCGAGAGCTTTGCCTGTGGCATTCATATTTATCCATTCGACACGCGCTGCATAGAAACCGAAATGAATGCTGCCTGAATGCCGGCTGTGTCTTTGTCTGTGGAAAATTGTAGAATTGGCAGTAGAGCCAATGAAAGTGCAGCCAGATCGAATCGTTGATTTTGGTGCCAGGTAGAGGAACGAAAATATTTCATGGAATTTGTTTCATTCCAACCAAAGGAAGTCAATTTGTAGACCTAACTCCGAGGTGCTTAAACACTTTGACGGAAAACAATAGGCCATTGAATTTATTTATTTGTTCTCCTCATTTCTATGGCAATATTTAAGTGGCAAACACTTATTTCTTTTTACTATTTCCAAGTGTAAATACAGTCCTGTCACTGCTGCATTTTCCGCAACTTTTAGTCGTTTCTTTCTTTCTTTTCTGTGCCTGCTGCAAATATTTGCTCTCGCCCTTTGCCCCAGCGAATTGATGCTTCCGTTTTGGCAAACACGTAGGAGCTGTGTGCCTTACGCTCATAATAATAAAATTGTTTAATTATTCAGTCAGCTCCTCATTGACTGAATTGTGTGTGGGCAATGGGCTGGCACGTAGTCACACATTTTTAATGAAATTATTCAATTATTCTGGGCTGATTAAAACGCAGTTAAGAGCTAAAACTTCTTGCATACAAACCGGTTCCTCGGCTGAGTTTTATCTTCCCAAAGTCAGGCATACTTTTGGGCGGCTGGGAGAAATGTGAAAGTACTTGGGGGATTTTCGCTCAGTGTGGCACAACGAGCGGGCCAACACCTTCGCATCGCATGCATAATTTATTCCAGACGCTTTTCATTTGTGGAATATTAATTACAAACAAAAAGAAACTCCCCCTAATGGGGGGGGGGGATTTTCACGTTTATCTCGGCGCAACATGCCACAAACGGCCGGGAAAGTGGCATGCCACAGATGTACATGCATCAATGTTTGATTTGTTGCAGAACAAACAATGAACTGAATGCTGGCCACAACACAACACAACACTTGCCGCTGCCATCGATAATTTATGATAATTCGCGTTTCGGCCGACACGCAATCGAAAATCCCACAGCCCACATCCCCTGCTAATGGCCCAAAACAACGCCTGGCCAGTGGCCAACAATTTGCTGTAATTGGCAAACAGCAAGAAAACACCAAAAAAAAAACACAAACAAAACGCTTCGTTTGGCTTAGTTTAGCCCAACGATCGATGGGCCAGAAACAAACCAAAAACTCTGACGACGGAACCTGCCTCTGTCGTAGATCGGCACGAAGCATTTATGGCCTTTGTTGCAACGTTTTGGGGCAGAAGGCACCATTCTGTGTGTTTGCTTTGGCTGGGAAAACTTTGCTTATGCATCTCGATGCGATTCAATGCAAAAAGCAATTGCAATTGCATAAAAGAAAAGCTTTTGCTGTGTTTTGTTTTTGTGGCAAACATTTTTCACTTTCACTTCTCTGTGTTGACATCTGAGTCCCCCGCCAAAAGGCAATCTTCGGACGATGCACAGGTTGAGATTAACCCAGCGGCACAATCAGACTCGGAGTTGCAGTTGGGACGTCCCACCCTCGCCGCACTCTCTTCAATCAAATTAAGTGCTGGCGGCCAATTACGTTTCACTCTGACCCCCCGACAACTGATGAACTGCAGCCGTGGAAAGCCAGCCGATCCGCTTCAGCTGTCTTGATGAATCTACAGCGACTTCACGTTCAAGTTGAAGTATTTACCCAAAATGATACATTTGTTTGTTTGCGTTTCCCATTTTCACTTGCCCGCAGAACGAGCTCCAAGCCAAACTCAATTTTGTGTTAAATTTCAATTTAAATTCCGCCTGCGGCACATATTTATATGTTTTTTTTTGTTGTGCACTGATTTAACTAGCTGCGAAATGTGGCAGAGTGCCCAAGCGTGGCGTGTCCTTGTCGCTGTTGTTTCCCATCTGTTTACAAATGTAACTTAATTTTTGGCGCACAAAAAACACTCAATTATGGCAGTAGATTCAATCCCCCGTCGCAGGACAGCTGCGAACATTTTTGTGGTGAAATTTTTGGGCATGCGAATATGAATGGAAATGCAAAGTTCACAGCCATGTTAAATGCCAATCCAGAGGGTTGGGGGGAAGGCCTCATCAATCAATGTGGCATGCCGCAACACAGCAACAACTTTGAAATTGCCATTGAAGAGAGATTGCCAAGAGATTTTCACAGACAACAGCCCCAAAAGCAGCATTCAGCATTCAGCATTCAGCATTTTCGTTGGCAACATTTTAAGTGAATTTAATGCCTAGCCTTGGCATTGTCACTCCATGCCGCAGGCCACAGGCCACACTCCACTCCACTTCAGTCTGTTTGCGTTCATGTCCAGCTTCAGCTTCAGCTCCATGTCCTCGTCCTCGTCCATGTCGGGCTGTCGGGCAAAACAAAACAAAATTTCATTTCATTTCAGTTGCTTCACATTATAATAATTTCTGGTCGCTGCAGACAGCTGGCGCCCGGGGCGGCTACTTAATATCGGACGGGAACAAATCTCACTTGAAGCATTTTTGTGGCAAAATAAATCACAGTTTGAATATTTGTCTCGGGCCCTGGCCAAGTGCGTTCCTCGGGTTGACAAATGACCCGAGCTTAACCCCTTTCGCGCTGTACCAAAACTTATTTGAATCTCCGGTTCAATGAACGTTGAAGGCGACGACGAGGAGGACTGCCCATGGATGATAAATTGAAGACAAGGCGAACGTGACAACGTGGCCGAAAGAAAAGTGAAAGCAACGGAAGCGGAGAGAAAATGCTAGCACAGGAATGGACCAGCAGGCAGCAGCCAGTTTTTGGCAACCTTTAACACAGCCGCCAGGGGAACGGCAGCATCAGAGTTCACTGCCACGGCTTGGTGCATGTAAACATGCAACGGGAGCGGGAGTGGATGGAGTGGATGTTCGATGAGACTTTCTTGCGGCAAAAGGGCAGTCATTCAATTCCATTGTCATTTGGCTGCGACTTGATGGCTCGAATTAGACACAAAGACATTGGGGTTGAGTGGCCCGACCATTACGCACTTTCGCGGCGACACATGAGAACTTAATTGGCAGCACCGCAAGCTGCAAGCTGCAAGTCGCAAGTCGCAAGTCGCAATTAATGTGGCGTGTCATTGGTCAGCGGTGGAAGATGGACCCTGGCTGACCCGGACAACATCTGCCGCAGCTTTGGTCGCGGTGTGAGGCGCCAAAGAAAGCGAAAAGCAAACGCATAATAAACGCTAACGGTGAAGAGTAATGAGAAAATGCTTGGCCACGATCCACTGAACTGGGCTCGGACCTAGCTGTATCCATCCATTCATCCATCCACCATCGTTCCCCTCTGGCAGTAATGAATAACGAGACCCTTGCGACACACCCGCAGACACTTTGAAAACTGCAAGTGGAATTGCATTGATTGCACTCACAAACTCAGACCATTGGGAGTAGCCACGCGACATAAAGTAAATGGCCAAAAGCCTAAACAAACAACAAAATATATTGGCTGGCGGCTGGACTGTCTGTCGGCTTATCGCGCCCGTCAGCACTGATCCCACATAAAAGTTAATTAGCGTGAGATTTGTGTGCGAGAGCGAGCGCGGCAGGCGGTAAACTTTGATTAGCGTCAATGTAGCGTCAAGACAAGCGATAAAAGCCAGCAGCAGCAGCAGCAGCAGCAGGCTCTGAAAAGTAAGTAAAACCCACACAGACAGACGTACAGCTCTCGCAAGGTATTTTCTTTTCGCTTTCTTTTGTTTGGGAAAATTGCAATTTTTATTGCACAAAAGCTGGGGCTGTGAACCTCAGCAGCAGCAGCAGCAGCAGCAGCAGGGCCCGGGCAGGGAAATAGAAATAGAAAGTTTTTGTTGCGGTGCGGCGTGCTCGTGGGTCAGTGCGGGTTCTAGGCGAAAAAAAACAAAACAAAAAAACCGAAAGTTAATTGGCCGCGCAATGCTCGTAACCCGTCAAAGGTTTTCGCACTTCCTCAAGAATTCAGAACAATCTGCGCTTGCTCCCAGCTTGTTGTTGTTTGTGGCTGTTTGGCGTTTGACTTTCTCTGTTTCTCTGAACAAATTTCACACACACTTAAGCCGCAACAACTTCCAGCCAGAGGAGGCAGGTGCAGCTGTGCCGAGCGCTGTGGTTGTTTAATGAAGCGCAATTCTTCTTTTCATTGTGCGAAAACTAATCGCTGTGGCTAACTTTTTGGCGGCTTTGTAGCTGCTTGGATTTGAGTCAAGTGTTGATACATTTTTTGTGCAGCAAACCAAAGCAAAACCAAATCATAGCCAACTATTATTTAATTTAAAAATCCAGCTGCAAGCGTATTGCCCACTTCGACTTCCACCCATTGCCATTGGTGTCATGTTTTTATTTTGTGTGTTTGCCAGGCCTGGCCTGGCAAAGTGGCACGGAAAAAACTTTGTGGAACATCTTTTTGGCCAGAGAGAAATGGGCAAGGCGCGGCTACAGACGACGGGGCTGGGGGGCTGTCGCATGGCCTTGCCAGCTGGAAAACCGCAGAGGAGGAAGACAATTGAAATTGTTTCACATGCGCTCGCGCAGCTTCAGCAGCATATGGATATGGCTACGTGTCTGCCACTGTTGGAGAAACGAGACTCCAGGGCGGAGGAAAAATCTTTGGCATTCGTTTTGGGTCTTTGCATTGTGGCTGCAAACGCAGCCGCTGCTGGGACATGGATAATGCGCACCTTGACGGACATTTTGACAGCTCAAGCCGAGAAAATGCAACACAAACAATGATGCACTCTCGAGACTCTGTAGAAAAGGAATACTTTAAGTATTCAGCACGGCAAGCGCTGATGGAAACCGCTTTATGTGCGTCCAATTATATTCAAAAGAAATTGTACAGAAAAAACACACGTAATCGGATACA